AACACTTCCCCCCAGCTTGGTGTCATCTGCTGAGATGACAGAGACTTGCTGAGAGTCTTCTTTGGTGATCATATTTTCTTTGGAAAACCCAAGGTAATAGAAAGGGGGAGTAGATTATCTTGAAGAGTCATCAGTGGAAGCCTGATCTCACAAACCATGCTCTTTTGGACAAGCTGTCTTCTCTCTCAGAAGCTGAAACTCTAAAACATTTATTGAGTCCTGGTGAGGGGATTTTTGCAGTAAAAGCCAAACTGATTTTCTCCTTGGCCTTTAGTATGTGTCTGATGCAGGTTTTGTTTTGTGAGGAAAGTTCTTTTGCTGTCCAAATTGACAGAGTCATTTTTTTGCTTCCGTAGATAGAAAACCATTACCAAAAGAGAGCTTTTTTCAGGATATTGCTACCCGTGTGGGCCTAGTGCCATTCATCGAGGTACACTGGAAATACTTCGTGCCATTCTCTGTTCTCTAAAAAATACATCACATTGAATGATGACAGGGAGTAAGAAACAGGTCTCCTAACAGTGGAGATATTGGCACCTCAGTTACTCAGTTTCTTTTTAAATTAAAATGTCATTAATGTAGAGGAGCTATGAAAACTTGATCAGCTCTTGACCAACACCTAGGTTTTCAGTCTTGAAGATTACACTGAGAGGAATCTTAGATTATCCAGGTGCTTTTGATTTTTGACCTGTTCATCTTGATACAGATGTGCCTCTGTGCTTTCAGTGTAATTAATTGTGGTGGTAATCACCCTTTGGAAGCAAGTGGAGCCTGAATCCTCTTGTTAGTTGAAGCTGTCATAGTAATTCAAGGAGTGTCATGGGAGATGAGGCAGAGAGGCTGTGTTTTCCCTTGTGTGTGAGAGTGTATTTACTGTTTCTGAGCAGAATTAACAATCTGAGGACATTTATGATCTTTCAGCTATAGCTAGACAATTGCATAGACACAGGGATAGAAAAACTCTTTTTTTTTTCCCCTCCACCTTTTCATTCCAAAGCTATAGTGGTGACTTTCTGTTTAATTTCCATATTTGCAAATTTGAGGTTACGCTGCTGCAGTATTTTCTGCACTTCAGATTTACACAGAAGCAGTTGTGATGCAGAAGGGAGCAGCAGGCTTGTTAACCACTCTGTCTGCCTGCCTGTGAGTACTGACCTGCACTGGGTAGACATTATTCTTCAAAGGAGGTTACTCTTGACCTAAAAACCTCAAGCTGTTTGGCTGACACTTCTCTGAAGAATTATGCTTTGACACACTGCCACACCTGTGGTTGGTGAAGGTCCTTGAGCTGCCAGGCCCTGAGCACATAAAGAGAGAGGACTTTGGCATGAGCTTTTTTACAAAAGGGTCCCTGCTTCCACCCTCTCCATGCTCTGACCTGTGGGACCCAGAGCTCTGAGGGAGCAGCCTGAGAAGGGATCACAGAATCACAGAAGGTATCGGGCTGGAAGGGACCTTTAAAGCTCATCCAGTCCAACCCCTGCAGTGAGCAGGGACATTGGTACCAGATCAGGTTGCTCACAGCCCCATCAAGCCTGACCTTGAATATATCTCCAGGGATGGGGCCTCCACCACCTCTCTGGGCAACCTGTGTCAGTGATCTACCACCCTCATGGGGAAGAACTTCTTCCTAATATCCAACCTAAATCTCCCCTTTTCTAGTTTAAAACTGTTACCCCTCATCCTATTGCTACATGCCCTAGTGAACAGTTCTTCTCCAGCTATCTATTCCCCAGGATATTGATGACTAAGTATCGGCTGGGTGTGACTTTTGCCTGCAGTAAATTCTGATTTTTCTAGTGTCAGTTTGAGAGGAAGCTGCTTCTATTTCTGTCTTTTGGTCTATATGGCTCATCTGCTTGTTGCCATTTAGACAAGAGAGGGCTCATCTAAGCTGGTCATCCAGTCTTTCTCTGTAATTAGTAGAAAGACTGATAGTTGTTAGTCTACCTAGTGTCAACATTTGTTGTAAGATGAGATGGATGTTTAAGATAGGTGAGATGAATTGGTATCTATCCTTCAGTCCGTTGACTGTAGAGGGAGCCTTGATGACAAACTTATCCCACATATATATTGGTTAGACAGCTAAAATTGGGTGAAGTGAATCACATCTTTCATCTCTTGATACTTGTCTTTATGTCAAAGCAAAGGTACAAAGAGTTTAGGGCTGCCACTAATACTGGATTTGATATGGATTTTTACATAAAAGCATAATTGTAGATTTTTTTTCCATAACCAGAACTGATTTAAATCCTTTTTTTTTCCCATTCTTGCAGCCTCTCCTTTCAAGCCACCTCGAAATCTGAGAACTTCTGATTCAACTATGTCGAGCTTCCGAGTAACCTGGGAGCCAGCCCCAGGGCGAGTGAAGGGGTACAAAGTAACTTTCCACCCTACTGAAGATGACGGGAGCCTTGGAGAGTTAATAGTGGGGCCATACGACAGCACAGTGGTATTGGAGGAACTTAGGTATGGATAATAATTAATGTTTTTTGGTTGTGGGGTTTTTTTTTAATACCTTTGAGTTTTATTTAATCATGATCTGGGTTTGAAATGCCTGGCAAAATCAACTGTGAGTGAGGAAGCAATTTTGTCAATAAGCTACGAGGATCTTGTTGTGCAGTCTCTGAAAGGCACCTGGCAGGGCTCTTTCTGAGACTATTCACATCACTTGTGGTGTTCTCACGGGACCTGAAGGAGGCAAAGATGTGGGCAGGGTCTGTGTTCTGCATTTCACATATGAGGAAGCTAATGGGACACTGGAGAAAGTTGGGATTTCTAAAGTTTCTTCCCAGGAGTTCCTTACCTCATGTTAAAAAAAGCCTAGTTTAGTTCTTGACTTACTTTCTCAGAGGCCTGGATTTATAAAGTAGACTTCAGACCACGTCAAAATCTGTTATGCAAATGTACTAAATATATTAAAATTAGGATAATTGATTAATTGAGATATTAGTCTTTATTAGTCTTAAATTACTTGAATGAGGAAGGCTATGAATTTATGTATAGAATCCAGAATCAGCTTTTAAATTGTCAAAACTTTGCTGTCTTGCAGAAGAGCTAGTCTGTGGGATTCATGTTGTAGCACCTTTTCCATGGGGGATTTTTTTCCTGTGAGGATTTTGTAGGTGAAGTGTAAGCATTTATCTAGCCAAGTGTCTTTAGTTACAGAATATTTGTTTAACTATTGCAGGGCAGGAACTACCTATAAGGTAAATGTTTTTGGAATGTTTGAAGGAGGAGAGAGCAACCCCCTGGTTGGACAAGAGATGACCACCCTTTCAGATACTACTTCGGAGCCATTTTTATCTAGAGGTAAACATGACTGAATTGAAGAAAAGACAGCCTTGGCTTGTGGATAAAAAAAGACTAGAAGTTTGCCAGTATTTCCTTATCATTTTTCTAATGCACATAAATATTTATTCACAGGATTCAGTATACTCCCTACCCTGATGACATAACCTCTGGTCTGCAATGACCGCTAAGTATGCTCCAGTTCATGATTCTAGTCCTCTGCACCCTTTAGATGATCTTACAAAGATGATAACTCAGGCAGGCCATGTTATGCTGATTACTCAAAGCCATCTGCATTGCATTTTCAAGCCGTCCACATCTGTGTTAAATCACAGAAGGTCAAATTCTTGATCAGAGATCATGGCTCATCTACAGGGGTGTGCACAGGAGTAGAACAAGGAATTTTAAGCAGATCTTTGGCCCTTTCTTTGTCCTTATATGGTGACTTTGCCTTTTAAGACTAAGATGGTATAATGAACAAAGGTCTGATAGTTGGGAATGTCCCAGTGTTATTCTGTATTATTTAAGTTAGTATGCCATATAGCCGTTATTTAGTCAGTCTTTTTACTATAGAAGGAGGAGATTTGCTTCAGAAATGCAGTTGGTGAGTGCTCTCCAGTATCTGTTTGGGAGTTTCTCCCCATGTAGCTAAACCTTCCGGTCAAGGTTTCTATGACTATTATGAAAGCAGCTTCCTTGGTGTGGTTAATGGGCCTCTGCATACTAATAGTTGTGCCTTGTGCCCAGCAAACTCTCAATTAATATTGGATGAAGAGAGTTTCAGGGCTCAGTCCTTCTTCATGGAAAGCATATAGCAGCAGGTCTTTGCTGCTGAACAGCCAAGTATACAGGTAGAAGTAAGGACTTTTCTTCTTCTTGCATAGCTATCAGAGAGAATTTGGTGATGAGAAATAACCTAACTGAAAAAGCCTTTCAGAGTTAAATTAAAAAGAAAGAAGCTTCTGACAGCTGACTATTCTTTTTGCTTAACCTCTTTGATGCCTTGTTTCCTCAATGGGCTGTGTAAAAAATATTCACCTCGTGTAACTTTATTGACATCATTTTTAGAAGCTTCTGAATTAATTACTGTCCCACTCTGTCTAATATAAGAGGGTGAAACTGAGAAAAATACATAACAGGCCATCAGTGACATTAGAGTAGAACTGTAATAAGTCTGGCAGAAAAATAATTGCACAAAGAGTGGTTTGTTATTTTTTATTACAGCAGCTGTCATATCTGTCTTCAATGTTATATTCTTTAAGCTAATTGGTTTTACTAATGCATGGATTTGAGTCATGGTTAATGTGAAAAGTGAATTTTATATCTGAGGCTGTAAATGTAATAGTACATTATTTATTAGTAGGGGGGAAAAAAAGTCACCCTAATTCTGGTGCCTTTGCTAGAATTTTCCATGTGGGGAACTATGGTACTTGGAAGAAAAAATTAGTAGTCAAAATAGTTTAACTTTTATGTTGTACATGAAGCTAACTTTGACTTCCATATTAAATTTTTGCATGTAATTTTTTGAATTAACATGGTTTGACTTAAACCCTACTCCCAGCTGATTTTATTGTCCTGACTAAAGACTAGATCTATATTTTCTATGCAGAAGAGGATCATGCTTTTAACCCCCAGGTACATGGAATAGTTATAATCATGAGTCTACAGTGTTGGAACAATTATGTGGAACATATATGAAATCACAATATCTTTCAACTGTGATGAGTGTGGCTGATTTTTCTCAATGGGAATTCTTCCATATAAAGACCAGAAGCTCTGATGGCAGGAAGCCAGAAAATTTGCAGCTGGTAACACAGTCTACAGGAAATGAGAGAGAGCAAGCTTTTTTTTCCTTTTCTTTTTCTTTTTTGCAAATGGCTGCGCATAAAATAATTGTGTCTGTCTGTTTTGTATAAATATTTTGTGATTTTCCTTGTGATCAAAACATTATGATGCATATTTTATTCTGTAATTTGTAAAATGGAGATATCTGAAATAACTTCCTACCTTTCAGAACATTGCAGCTTTATATAAATGTTTGTTCTTGTCCCCTCTCTACCTCTTGACCTGTGTTTATGTTTGTGTCTCTTCTTTAAAGTGTGTTCTTTCTTTCCTGGAGTGCAAACTTCTATGCCACCTGTATTACTATGTCTTTTTCCCCTGGAAATTCAGAAATTCTATTTATTTGAAGTGGTTGTTATATATGCTGTTAATTCCATGATTATATAGTTGAAAATTAAGCAGTAGTTTAGCCAACCATGACAGACTAAAATACTGTAAATTTGGATAATCTGATAATGCTCATTGCCAAGTCACTGGTTAGCTTAGTAGTCTTTTACAAAACTTCTGAAATCAAGTTATCAACCATCCTTAAAGACCAAAGCAGATAATGTCATGACAATAGAGGAGAACACTGGCCTTGGCATTTGTGAAGGCTTTATTTATAAAAGGAAACATACATGAAGAAATTTATACAGTTTTTGCCATGGAACCAGTGACTAGTGTGAGTAACGTTCACACAGAGGTCATACTTGACAGAGTGCCAGTGAATAAAACTAGAGCTATTTTAGAAGCTAACTGATGACATATGTCATATGAAAGGATGGGGAAAGAAAGCTACCATGCTAAGGCTGTATTTTTCTGGTTGAAAGCTACCATGCTAAGGCTGTATTTTTCTGGTTGACACGGCAGGTTTAGAATGTAGAACCAGAGCAGAAGCTGATATTGTGCTGCTGGTGGACGGCTCATGGAGTATCGGGCGGCCAAATTTTAAAACTGTCAGGAGCTTCATTTCCCGTATTGTTGAGGTTTTTGATATTGGTCCTGACAAGGTACAGATTGGTAAGTCCTCATACGTTGGAAGAAAAGTAAGGCATAACTGCTACACAGCCACATAATGACTGTGTAATTATGACTTTTTTTTCCCCCAGGTCTTGCACAGTATAGTGGAGATCCCAGGACAGAATGGAATCTCAATGCTTACCAAACCAAACAGGCTTTGTTAGAGGCTGTAGCCAACTTACCCTACAAAGGAGGCAATACTCTAACAGGTATGTCACACTTCCAGGATTTTCCTTAAGCTCCAATAAAAATCTAGTAGCTGACCCCAGTATTGTTCAGTGAACTCAAATTTGTCCATGGTGAAAGGGCCTTACACTTCAATTCAGTATGTTTGGAAAAGAACAAGCATAGTCTATAGACATAGAATCTCAGCTGAAATCTGGAGAAAAGTGTTGAAGGAGAGCTTTGGTGATGAGGAGCTTGGGCTGCTCTTGAGCATATGAGAAGAAGAAAAGGCAGTTCCATGTCAGGATTGGGATGATGACAAAGAGAGGACCCAGGAGGCAGGCTAGAGGAGATCAGATAGGACAGTGATGCATAAAAGGTAGGAGATTAGAGAGTTTGAAAGGGCCGAAATAGTATCAGTCTAGATGATGGGTTGCTTGCTGGCATGAAATGTTTCAAGACAAAAACCTACCCAATCCAGCCAATATAATCTTCCTCAAACTTGATAGAACTCTCTTTTGGATATGAGTAGCTCTAAGGAATCTTCAGCATATGCATCTGGTTAGGTAAATACTTGGGATGCTATGGAGAATCATAGAATGGTTTTGGTTGGAAAAGACCTTTAAGATCATCAAGTCCAACCATGGACTAGATGATGGGCTGCGACTTGATTCCAAGTGCAGTGAAGGAAGTAAATTGTGGAATGACATTGTCAAGAGTGAAATCACTAGGATCAAATACTCTCCTTTACCATGACTACTATATGGAAATAGTTTAGAATGATTGTTACCTTCTTTGTATCTTGCTAGGAATGGCCTTGGATTTCATCTTAAAAAACAACTTCAAACAAGATGCAGGCTTAAGGCCCAGAGCTCGCAAAATCGGTGTTCTCATCACTGATGGCAAATCGCAAGATGACGTAGTCACCCCTTCAAGAAGACTCAGGGATGACGGAGTGGAACTTTATGCAATTGGTAGGTATTGTATGAAGAAGTGGCCTGAGCCAACCCTCTCCTGCCCATCTGCTAAATGCAGAGAAGTGGTCACACGCATAAGAACGGGTTTAGGGACATAAATTCATGACATTATGTTTCATGGCCATCATTTCTAACAAGTTTTGTTTTCATGTCTTCCCTGCAAGGTATTAAAAATGCGGATGAAAATGAGTTGAAGCAAATTGCAACAGATCCAGATGACATCCATGCTTACAATGTTGCGGATTTCTCCTTCCTGGCTAGCATTGTTGAGGATGTAACCACAAATCTGTGTAACAGTGTGAAAGGACCAGGTACATCACATTTTCAGTCTAATTCATCCTTTTTCCATTTACGTGCTTGCACTGCTAATTCTTTTTTTATTACTTATTTGGAACACTGCGTAGCCCCGGGCTGTTTTTTCAGCTGCTGATGTGAGGAAGTTGGGCAGACCACCTGGACTACCCTGCAGGGGTTCTTCCTTTCTTTTCAACAAAGACTGTGTTATACCTAGCACAGCATGACATGGCTGGACATGCCTACTTTTCTTCCAGAGTCAGGAATTATGTTGCTCAGTGTGTCACCTTTTTGTTCACTGTGGCAGGTTCTTTGATGATACTTATCCAGTAAGGAAAATTTCAGCAGGCTACTCTTTTCAAGTAGTAAACTCTGACAGCCAAAAAGCAAAGCCAAGCACGCAAAATCAGTAATGTTAGCTCTTGGTTCTTCAATGAAGTTACGGATGTTGAAGGGGGAGTAGGAATGATAGGGACCTTGGTTGGTCTTAAGGGAGTGATGGTGAGCTACCTTTTCATACAGTTGTTTTAAGAATTCCTGAAGAAACAGAAACATAAGCAGGTACCTAAAGTGGGGTTTTTTCCCTAAGAATTTTTTTTGTCTCATTTTTTTATACCTGATGATATAAGATAAATTAATATTTTTTTAATTTGCTTCCACTTGTAGGTGATCTACCACCTCCCTCTAACTTAGTTATTTCAGAAGTGACACCTCGTTCTTTCAGACTGAGATGGACTCCACCTCCTGAGAGTGTTGATAGATACAGAGTTGAATATTACCCTACCTCTGGAGGTAGCCCTCAACAGGTTAGTAATGTATATTCATCTCTGACATTGTCCATAATAACCTTGGACGTCCACATCACAGTAATGTCATGGTGAAGTGTGTGCTGTGTCTGGTGTAACAGTAAATGAAAAAAGGCTCCCAAGGTCAAGAATATCATGCTTTGGTAAATACAAACTTACAAAAAGTAGGAGCATAATGATAACCTTGGTTGTTTTAAAATCATGAATCCTAGAGTAAAATGTATTTCTTAAGAAACAGTTGACTGGTATTTCTAGTAATTCCTTTCTGTTCATACTCCATTGTCATATACTGGTTTAAATAATTCTTTAGTACAAATTTTCTGAGTGTACTTATGGGTAGGCTCACTGTCTTTTTAGTACATTTTGTTGTTAACAGAAAAAAAGTGGGTGATACAGGTTATGAGTTAGCGCTTAGATTAACATCGTATGATGGTACTTTGAATCTGTGCCAAAGCGCATCCTCTAAACTGTTTAATATACAGAGTCAAACTCATTCACTACCCTTGCTCTGGGCAATCTGAATTGCTCATCACTCTTTTCAATCAGAGTAATATTTTGGAGAATGGAATTAGGCATCTCTGTGTACTAACTCTGAACTTCCCATCTCTGAATGTGGCTTTTTGACTCTTTAACTCAGATTTGACTCATGGAGAATTTAATCTTAATAAATTATGACTTTAGGATTTGGCCTTTGACTAGGGTTGGAGCAGCCATTCCAATGCATGTTGACCTTACAGCTGGACTGGTTTCTGGCATTTCCTTTCCGCGAGGTGTTGCTGGTGCCATGTGCTGTAAGCATCTAGATTATTCTGGGTGTTTAGAACTTTTTTCTGAAGTGGTAACGTGTATCTCTGACACTTTCTTTATATTGCTGAGTAATATAAAAGTACAAACCATATGTGAAAGCTGGATGCACAGTGAGCACTGCTAGATATATCCAGCTCTATTGAAAACAAGTATCTGAGGATTCCCTACGGCTTACTTTGCAAAAGTAGTGATGTATCTCAGACAAAATACACAGAGACCACAGACAAATACACAGCAAGACCATGCTTATTTTTAGTTCCACAGCACTGACTTCTGAAGAGTTTCACAAGGAAGTATTTTTTCCTTAGAGATAAGATTACAAATACTTTTGCTGTACAGTGGTTAACTTTGCTTCTCTTTTCTGTAGTTCTATGTAAGCAGGATGGAAACGACGACAGTTCTGAAAGATCTGCAACCTGAAACAGAATATGTTGTTAATGTGTTTTCTGTGGTAGAAGATGAAAGCAGTGAACCTCTAATTGGCAGAGAAACAACTTGTAAGTCAGAAATGGAACCTCAATATGATGTTAACAGCCAGTTTGGTATATAGGGAACTGTCCAGTGGAATTTTAGCACTATGGGCTTTCTTCTTAGAGGAAACCATTTTTCTAATTTGAATGACCAAATTGTGTTGTGTTACACTCGTTCACATCTTGGCTGAAAAAATTCAGCAAAGTGAAGCTGTACTGTGGTAAAAAATTGCTTGTCTCAGCTTCTTTCCAGGTTCATAAAGCATGGCTGTACAAGACTAGAGCAACAGATATGAATTACAAGACAAAGCTTATAAATTCCTGAAATCTGATCATATTCAAACATGTACTCCTTCATTTCTATGCTAGATAATTAATTACTGCTACTAGCAGCCAGAGTACTATAGAAATTCATTCTAATTTTCTCAGAAGAACAAAAAGTCGGTTCAG